AGAGAGAGAGAGAGAGAGAGAGAGAGAGAGAGAGAGAGAGAGAGAGAGAGAGAGAGAGAGAGGGAGGAGTGGTTGCTAGGCGGGGATTCGATACCGGACGGGCCGAAGCTTTCCTTTCAGTCAGGCTACTATAATCCGAAAAGCACCACACTGCGCACGACGCAATTTCGTTCTGGCACTCACCGAGTCAATGAGCGGGTATGTGGATTTAGTCCATAGAGCGGAAGCCGGGGAAGCAGGCCAACCACGGCAAGACGAGACAGACACGCGAGATGGAAAAACAAGAGCAGGATGAAGGTGGGGAAAGATGGGAGAGAGCGGGCAAGAAGGTGGATTCTGAAGTAGCTATGGAGCTCGAAGACCAGGAATAGGAAACGATCGCATCGAAAGCAGTGAATGCAAGCTGTCCGAGCTATGGTTGAAGCGAATGCGCAATTCCAGTGCTCATCACCTACCTTTCCCCGGAGAATGCAATCACACCGTACGGTTGCAAACACGCTTAGCATACGAGTCGTCCAAACTCTCTTTTATCCCTTCCTTCCTTCCATCAGCGTCGAGCCATCTTCCCCTCGCAATCGCCCGCCTTTGCAACACCCGCCTCTCTGCCACTCCCAGCCGCCAAACATACCCCCCTTGCAGACCCTGTCACTCACGGAGGTGCTGACCTTGAGGGCGTCGCCACACCACTCTCGAAATGTGAAAAATGAGAATGAACTTCCCGCTACAACATAGCCAGTATTGTCTTTTTCACATTTCGAGAGTGGTCTGGAGACGCCCTAAAAATGAGAATGAACTTCCCGCTACAACATAGCCAGTATTGTCTTTTTCACATTTCGAGAGTGGTCTGGAGACGCCCTAAGTAGTTTCCTACTCTGCTTTTTTTGTCTTTTTAACACATCTTACGGCACTTCAGCAAAGCAGGACTCAGCACGTGCACAAACGACAAGCCGAGGCGTTGCATCTTCCTCACCTCACTCAGGGTCTCCGCCTGCCCCCTGAACCCTGCGTCAGAGCTTTCTGTCCCTTCCCGCCTCGCCGAACTATTCAGCAAATGCACAAAATGAGAATGAATCTTCCGCTAGAACATGGAAAGATGCCCCGCCTGATATAGGGCCTCGCTCCACTACTGTCCACTATGAAAAAATGGGCAGTGGGACGTCGCTCGACTTAGGGCCTCGCCACACTATCGTGGAAATGTGAAAAAGACAAAAATATGGCCGGCGCACCTGGCGATGTCCTAGTAGCAAGTTCATTCTCATTTTGCACATTTCGAGAGTGGTGTGGCGGTGGCGATGCCCTTACTGTCCACTATGAATAAACAAAACAAAACAAACAAAAAACTATTCAAGTGTTGTTTTGAAAAAAAAAAAAAAAAAAAAAGGCTAGGACAGAAAAACGACTGTCCAGTTTTGTATAGCTCCCTCAGATCAGCCCTCAGATCAGAAACTTAGATCCAGCAGCCTAGGTCAATTGGTTAGGCACGCAAGTGGCATTCAGGAGATTGTGGGTTCAATCCCCATGGCCGTCTGTAGCACTATTGGTGCCAACCAACTGAGATAGAGCCTCTGTAGCACTATTGGTGCCAACCAACTGAGATAGAGCCTCGCCGGACGGCACACTACAGGGAAAAAAAAATGACTTCGTTTCGCGTACGTTTCGCCGCACAGCACCCTGGCGGATCCTGTCAGTGTTTCCTTGCGAAAGATGTCCGACTCCAAGTTCGCGAGTGTGAGCACGTGCAGCAGCCATCCCTGCCTGCAACTCGCGTGAACTCGCAGGTCATCCGCTTCACTGCGGTGGAGCTGCAAATCCGCACGAGTGCAACACTTCGCTCCAAAGAAAGCATATCCAAAATTTTGTACTTTTGCATGTGTCAGGCCTCCCTAACGATGTTGGAAGAGAGCAAAGCCCTTTCCATGAGGGAATTCGCATGTGCTGTGCGGCGGTGGTGCAAGAAATGAGTCAAAACAGTGATTCTTGGCCTAGCAAGGCCTCGCGAGGTTTGAGGTCGTATCGTTTCGTTAATTGCACCGTCTGGCGAGGCCCATAGCTGGATCCTCCCAGTGGGTATCAGTAAGGTCTTCAGCCAACACGGGTGTGAGTGCGTGTGTGAGTGAGTTGCGTGTGGTGTGTGGAAGAGTGTTGGCTTTAGACGCTACTGTTACTCAATGGGGGTGGGGGAAGATGAAGAGGGAGGCACGGTTACTGGCAAATGCTTGGTCGTTGTGTTAGCCGGGCCCCCACCGGCGGCCCAAACCGTGCACCCTAAACTGCTAGGGCAAAGGGGCAAACACGCCATTAGCCCTCTCCACTGAGAGAGGTAACCTCCCTTCACCGAAGAGTGGTAGAAAGCTATGCTTGCAGGGGTCCCCTGTATAGCCTTAGAGTGGTAGGTAGTGAAAAGAAAGATATATTCCCTGACATGACAGAACGCCAGTTAAAAATATATGTGAGGTGAGAGAAACATATATGGCCGTCCCGCAATGAGGAGAAGGCAGCTTTAAAAAAAAAAAAAAAAAAAGATCAGGAGCTTACCAGGTTGTGGTCACAGCTAAACACAATCCCTTGCAAAAACGGGCTTCGCTGCTATGGCTCCAATCTCACCTGGCCTTACCGACCTTAGTTTGGTTAACAGAGAGAGGTATGGATGTAATCAGGTTATGTGATAGATGTAACGCCAGGGACGACACTTCGAACCACCTTTGGCGGGACTGCCCGAGATCAAGAAAGTGGTGGAGGTGGTGGGAGATGCACTGGCAACGGTTCAAGGGCCAGTCGGGTTTGTTAGGACAGAGGTGGGTCTTGCTTGATGCGGTTCCTGTTGAGAGCAGCTTATCAGAAGGATGGGGATACATAGCCCAGGTAGGGAGGGCCATAATGATGTGGCTCATTTGGACAAATAGGAATGACATTTCAGGGAGAAAGTCCGAATTGGATTCACGCAGATGGGAGAAAGTCTGAATGAGATTCACACAGAAGACACATTCAAAGCCATGCTCGCTACTGCAATTAGAGTGGACTGGACCCGCATGGTGTTGCAGTGTGATCGGCACACAGGTCTCGACTGGTTCAGGAAAACCTGGTATTTGGGGAACATACTCTCTCACATCTCCCCTGAAGGGCGGCTGGTACTGTGTCAATGGATTGAGCGTGAGTAGATTACCAGAAGGTGTTTGGATAGGGAGTTAATGTTGTTTGTTTCGTTTTCCCTGGTTTGTTTGGTTTTTGAGGCCTTGAGGGTGGAGCAGTTGTTGAAGCAGGTGCACTCTGTTCCACCGTAGTCCACAAAGGGTGGGTGGGGTAGGAGAGGGCAGGTTATGCTAAATGGAACATGGCTCCTCTCGACCGCTTTTGGGCCGAGCGTCAGACCGTTTGTTAGGTATGTGACTTAGGATAGTATAATGGTAGCAATAGGATGGGATAGGCTAGGAGCAGAGTTAGTCAGTAGGAGTCCTAACTGTTGGCATCTACGATGTAGCAGTGACCATTGAGCTTTGTTTGGAATCTTGAGGAATTTTTCTTTGTTAGCTGAGTTGTGCCTGCATAAGCTAACCGGCTGAGGCGGCCGGGATAACTCCGGGTTGAATTGTGAGGTCCCCGGCCTCAAATTCATTGATTGATTGCTAATGAAACGTTTGGAATTCAAAAAAAAGAAAAAAAAAGCACTTTGGTGGACGGTCCTCATAGGAACCCACAGACCCTCCACCTTTTTGGACAGCGGGCCTGGATTCTGGCCGTAGAAATGATATAGAGGCCATGTCTTGTAGTGCTGCGACGGTTGGCCTAGCCACACCACTGCCAAAAACACCATTTTTTTTTTGATAGTTTCTCTTGGCCACACTGGCTGTCGAAATTGAAGACGGGAAAAAAATTTGCAAGTTGTAAGGGCCTCGCCGCACCATTGGGCCTCGCTGCACTACGATTGACTCACAAAAAAGTTCAAGTTTAGATCAAGAGCTAGACAAGAGAAATGCTCACAATGGGCATCCCCAGAGTAACAGTCGGAGAAAAAAGATCACTGTACTCTCTTTTTCGAAGCCTCCGTTTTCATGTTTGGTGCGCAGTGGTGCAGGTTGGATGTTTGGAGCGCGGTTGAGCTGGTTCGAAAGACTCCATGCATGCTGGTCCTCGTGGCACGGCACAGGAAATGAAACAAAACGAATGCATCTGCCCACAGCAGGCGGAAAAATATGTTCCTTGACTTTCCATGGTCACATGGTGGGCTGGATGAACGATTCCACTTCGGGCGTCGTTAGACACTCCTTACGAGTTCCTTGAGCCACAAGGAATTTTCCTTGTGGCTCATAAGGGATTTTTGCTGCGTCGTTCGACACATTCTTGGGGACGTTCCCCGAGGACGTTTCCTTGCGCCCTGCCCGCAGCCATTTCCATACGAAAATACGTGGCCGCAGGCAGGGGTGTCCGTGGTCCAATGTCCATTGTGCGTGTGGAGACGGCGTGGTCCTGTGACGCCCAAACCTGACGCCCAGCGCGACTTCCTGATCGGAGTGGGATGCGGGCCCGGAAGTGTGAAAAAGGGGTGTACCAAGGATTTTAGGAAAAAGGGGCTGGAGTCCTAGGTTGGAACTGAGATCTCTTGTGGCAAGTTTCGGGGGTATAAGCGCAAAGAGGGTGTGCACAGGTCATATTTGGCGCTTCTAATTCTCGTAAGACGGAGGGTAGACCGCTTCTCTGGGCTTGTGCACAAACGGGAAGCTGCTGATGTCGTGCAACATAAGGCAAATGGCATGCATAGTCGTATTTTCCACGATCACAGTACCGACAGATCTAAACACTCCTGCATTCTCGAACAAAATCCCAACAACATYGCATTTGACGCGCAACCTCACGCTCTGTKCTGTCTTTCGTTCGGAGTGTTAGGCGTGCGGAAAGAGGCCYMGAAAAACAGCAAGATGGGGTGTGCCAAGGATTTTTGGAAATTGAGTGTGGGGACACAAATGAAACTGAAATCCCCCGTGTTGGTCCGATGAAGCAAGTCGATTGCTTTCGCGCGTCGWGGAATGCGCGCGCGGGCACGGCGCGAAAAGAGAAAAATCCAAATTCAATCCAAAAAGTATTGTCAGGCTTCCCACCGGGCTACAGCCCGTTGTTTAGAACGGAAAGGCTTTGGCACGCTTCGCGTGTCTCGTTTTCGTATCAAATCTCGACGTCGTTCGCTGGTCAGTTCCGAGTCTGACGTGGATGGTCTCAGCCGCGTGGCTCTTTC